TTGTAATGAACCTTTTTATAATGAGGTCATTCATAAAGTGTTATGTTACAATTCTTTTTATAAAGCACGATGCATTTAATGCCAGTTCTTCACACTGACCTATAATATAATGCATGTTTTAATACAGCAAACATTTTGTCCGTATTTATAACAGCAAATGTATGTGGCGTTAATGAATTCAGTTCAATTCAGTTTACTGTTTTTTATAAAGCATCAAGTCACTACAGAAGTCGTCTCAGGGCACAGAAACATCCAAATATAAAATAATAATTGAACATTATTTATCTGAGGAGCAGCTCTGAGTTTAACTCCATCACTGAACTCTCATCTTGAGCAAGCATGAAGGCGACAGTGGAAAGAAAAACTCCCTCATGAGGAAGAAACCTTTAGCAGAACCAGGATCAGGACAAGAGGACCATCTGCTTCGACCGGCTGGGTTTGGTAGGAATAGATACACAATGGCAGGTCAAGAATCACATGTTAGGATAGAAATACTATCAAATGAAAAGTATTCAATTTTAGCAAATCATTTAAGGAAATGAGGTCAATTTGTCTTGTAAATAATATCACAGTAGTCAATAGACGGAAAGAAAGTAGCAGTTACAAAGTGTTTGCTAGCATTCGGAATTAGACAGGATCTATTTTGGAAAAAGAAACCCAATATTTTAAAACTTAAATATAAATTGTGTTTTACTATATATATATATATACATATATATATATATAAAACCACAGACACACTGACAATATCTTCTTTAGGTATCTTTGTCAAGTTTAAAGGGATCACTGACTACTTGCACATAGTGACTTTAATATGTTCTGTATTCTGCTAAAGTTTTTTCTTTGACATGTGGAAACTCCCAGTTATGTCAAAGAATTTATATACCTTTATTACATTTATGATGCCATTATTTTACTGGTGCACTGCATTCTGGTGTGTTGACGTACACTGGTTGTAGTGGAAACTAAATCTCAAGGAGTCAAGTCTAAAAAGTTATATGTGACAGTAGTTATATTGTATGGGAGAAGGGACATCTAGGGGACACGGGGTTTGACATTTCTGTTTTACTGGGATGTCAAGCTGGAGCAAAGACACCTGTGACCTTAACCTTTGACCTCTGACCTTGAAATCACTTATAAAATCATCCTTGACCCATGAAGTGTCCAGAAAACTGTTCTAAATTTAGAGTTCGGATAAAAACATTGTCCGCACAGATGGACAGCACTGTCTTTAAAAAAAAAACTGTTATGTATTTTAACAGAACTCTTTGTTTTAGTCAATACAATTTAAAAAATATAATTTACTTCTTTAATATAAGTGAAGTTGCTGTTTCTAAGTTTCATTAGACCGTTTAAAATATGCACCCCTTGTGAAATTCGGCCCGAGTTCAGTCGGGTTGATTCGCTCGGACTCGGCAATTTCCGTCCTTTTCCGTGGCTGCTTCGTTCATTTCCGGTCAGCGTCGCCATCTGCCTTCCTCGTCTCCTTCTCCAATCTCCGTGTTGTCGTTCCCGGTGACGCGGCGGAGGTGTAGCCTGACGCGGGCTCTTACGTGTCGGCCAGAATAAAAGTGGAGCTCCGGAGGCCCGGGAGTGACGAAGGAAGTCCGTGTCGGTAAGGAAGAAAAGATGTCCGGGGGTTCGGAGGGACCGTAGGCGGCCGCAGAAACGGCCCGTTGTGCTCGGGTTCGGCCCGGAGGAAACAAAGAAATCATGGCGCCGCGGTGTTTGTAGCAGGATGGAGGGAGGGGAGGCTGCGGCTTTTTGGGGCAAACCGAGCGGCTTGGATACTGAACGAAGGCGTTTATAAAGCTTTCCGAACTGTACCTGGAGTTATAAAGTTATTGTTACAGCCAGCTGCCAGATGAGGCCACATCTGGAGCTGCATGCGCCAAGATGTTCATTTCTCCAACTTTGTGTTTCAGCCGCTCTGGCTGTTGTTGGGTCCCGGTGACAGGGGGAGGCTTTTAGCGCCCGTCGTGCTTATCATGGGGGGGGGGGGGGGGGGGGTAGCGTCCCCGGGGGAGGGGAGCCTGGGCAGGCGGGGGGGCGGCGCCCGGCCATGTGGCTCAGCTGTCACACGCACGCAGCGGAGTGAGTTTTGAAAAGCAGAGGGAGAAATGCGCGAAGCCAATCATGCGGCGGAGGGAAGCTACGCACAGTGTGAGATCACGAGCCCAGGGAACAGCACGTTCCAGACCTGCTGTCTGCACGCGCACACGCACAGGTTTATCTTCCATCTTCACAGGGAGTTTGCATTGACAGACGTTCGTTCTGACCCCGAACCAGGGTCTGCAACCTGTGGCCCCCGGGGCCACATGTGGCCCTTCAGGCCCTCACCTGCAGCTCCATGAAGCGTTCAGCAGAACTTACAGTACTTTTAATTGTTCTGGTTTTTATACCCACAACAAAAAGTACAGTTACTTATTGTCAAATTTCTGCAAATGTTTGAACGACACTGTTACTTCAAAAAGTGGGATACTTAATTTCTCCTCACATCAAAGGACACAGACGCCTGCAGAGTTCAGAGTTTTCATTTTTCATCTCAAGGTAGAAACTAGATGTTTTTACTTATTACATCATACTGTTTTGCTTTTTTTTTTTTGTCCCAAAATGTAAAAATATGAATAAATGTTGAAATTCATTATTGATTCTTAGTTTTAAAATGTCACACTCCAACTAACTCAGTTGATCGTCACAGTTGTAGCAGGTTTTGTGGCTCCGGGCTCTTCTTTATTTAATGAGTGAAGACGCAGAGATGGCTCTTTGATCAAAAGGTTGCAGACCCCTGTCCGAAACGTAACCACGACCAGTACGTACCTAACCCCGCCCTTACCCACCAACAGCACTTCTTATGGGGCCCATTAGCAGCGGTTGGTTCTCATAGTTTAGTATGTGTTGTGTTGGAAAATGGGCTTTACAAAGTAAATACACACTCACCGTCTCTTATTCATCCATGCTTATATTTACCTGCTTCTTTCTTTTTGGGTTGTGGGGGTCACTGGTGCCCATATCCAGAAGCCACAGAGAGAGGTGGGGGACACCCTGGGTCTCCAGTCCATCACAGGGACACACAGAGACCATTCTCTCTCACAAGAGAGGAGCCTGAGAACTGAAAGATCTGCCGCAAATTCTGCTTTTGAAAACTCTAGGAACCACGAGTAAACCTGCAGTCGGAGAGCAAAATATGGAACAATAAGATCTTTACAGCACTGTCAACGACATCATCCCCCTAGTCTGTTGTAGTGAGCAAGTCTTGGTATGACAGGTTTTAGTCGTTTTCAGTCCGCTGGAAACTATTTTCAACTGGAATTCATCTCCTTTTAATTCATTATTAGTCTAAATAAGATACGGGGTTTGATCCAGACAGAGTACATTGTCAAAAAGAGTTTTATTTTGCTTAGACAATGACGAAACACTTTTACAGACCTATTAATGCTGTCAACCCTCAGTGAATCCGTGTCAGGTAAATGTCAAACGACGACGGAGCGGCAGTAACTCGAAGGGAAGGTTGGACAAATATGTGTGTTATATAGTAGAAAATATCTGAAGAAGATTTGATCTAAGATTAAAAAAATGATGTTAAAGCTGCTGCTAGTGGCTCGTCAGGGTCACCACCATACCACACCACTTTATTTATAGAGCACTTAAAACAGCAACAAGGCCAACCAAAGTGCTGTACAGACAGAACAACAGGTAACACACAAAGCAAAATACAAAATGAAGTAAATCAAAAATATAGACATAAAATCGATGCAGATAATAAATATGACGAGTACAGGTTCAAAACACAGATCATCTGGTGTTGAAAGCTACTGAATAGTAGTGAATTTTTAAACGGGACTTGAAAACCGAGAGGGAGGGGGCCTGTCTGACAAGCAGAGGTAACTCGTTCCAAAGTCTTGGTCCTGCTACAGAGAAGG